CCCCGGAGCCGGAGGTGTGTTTACCTCCTCCACTACTCTGAAGGAGGGAGAGAGCGGGCATGTAGGAGGGTCACTCCACCACGCCGCTCTCCCCGACGGTCTTTATGAGATTACTCCTCCCATTACCCTTGGCACACATAAAATTAAAGAGATCAAATCTATAAGTGTCCCCAAGACCCGGAGTTTTAAAAGGGCCCCCCTTCAAATTGGGTATCGAAGATATAGGAAGGTCCCGAGACCCTCCACCATCCCGGAGGAATGTATGGTCCCCAAGAGAGGGACCTACCATCGAAGAAGCCTGTAGGATATATTAGATTAGATTATAAGGGTCCCTACGGAACCCCGAAGGGACAGGACAGGCCGCCTCCCCGGGTTCCGGGGAGGGACCCTCCACCATCCCCTCGGGATGTACCATTGAACCCCCTGAAGATAAGTATCCCCCACTCTTTCAAAGAGTGGGGATCCGAAAGGATGTAAGATCCATCCTTCCTGATGGATCTACCATGCCCTCTCTCTCTGAGAGAGGGGCAATGCTATCCAGTCTTTTACAAATGCACCATCTTTCTTCGGGATGTAAGATAGTGTAGGTGGAAAATTTACCCTCCTAAAGGCACCCCTCCTCGGTCCCCCACTGTTGAAAAGAGTGGACATGCCCTCTCTCTCCGAGAGGGGTACCCCTGGATAATGATACGTAACACAGAAAGTCTAGTATTAGCCTTACATAATCAAATAACTGGGGTGATGTAAATACTAAAATAGGCTGAAATGGATTTGAACCATTAATCAGAGTGTTATGAGCACTACGCTCTACCAAATTGAGCTATCAGCCTTCCCTGTCTTCTAAGGGTTCCAGAAGGAACTCCCGGCGGGAGTTTAAGAGGGTCCCCCCTGTGAAACGGGGGAGGGGGGGGGTCCCATCCCTTGGCGGGTCTACGATAGCCCCTCCCAACTAGGGTGGGAGAAGGAGATTACAGGCAGGCTCTCTGTTATTCTCTATCGAGAGGGCGTCTACAGAAGTGGGGGGAATGATTACCCCGTATGGGGATCATGGTGGAGGGTCTCGTAACCCTCCTACACCCCTCCCCTCCTCCGGTACCCTCCGGGGCAATGATAATTAGCTTTTCCGTGTGGATTGTAACCCTGTGTGATATACTACAATATCATTTACTATAGATATCTATATTTTATAGAGTAGATGTGCCTTATATAAAAGTAACTCAGCCGAGAGAATATTATGTGTCTCTTTATTTTCAGACCTATCTACTCCCCTGGCTTTAAGTGCGGGAGTTTAACTGACAATACTAGGTAGTAACTACTATCGGAGAGGCAGGCATCCGTAGGGGGATGGACCTAACATCCCGAGGGATGGTAGAGGCAGGGAACCCGCCTTCAGGAAGGATGGTTCTTACATCCTTGCGGATTTATCTTTTCTAAGAGCAGGTTTTAGGTGTATGTATCTAGCCCCAACCATAGGTATAACTATCGCTCTAATTGTAACTATAAGTCTATCTTTAGCTCTATCTACAACCATACTTAGACCTACATCTCTATCTCTGGGGGAGAGGCGTAGTAACGAATTGAGTATCAACTCAGTTAGACACTTAAACATTTTCCTATCCACCTGCCTAGCTACATGCCTATTTACTTACCTCTCTGCTCACTATTAAACTTCCTTATACACATTACTTAACGGATCTACCATTGCCCTACGGCCAATCCCGAAAGGAGGGATCTACGATAGGAGATTATTCATAACGATACTGTAGGCTTTGGTATGTGTATGGTCATAGTATGTGTTGTGGGAATAGGTAAGTGAATGATCTTTTACTGGAATGCCAAAGATGGCTGAAATTGAACCAGCAACGCCGCGAAGCGCTACGGATTTCAAATACACTTGACCTACCAATGTCAACACCTTTGGTGTATACAAACACCTTGTCGAGACTCACCCCTTGGGAGAGATCCTTCAAGTTCAACGGTCTCTAGGG